AGACAAAAGAATACGTTGAGAGCATCTGTGATCCTCACACCATAAGTTAGCAGATGGCCTCCTTTGGTGCCAGGTCACAAGACAGAGCCTCCAGGGACTCTTCTTGGAGGCACACACACAGACAGTAAGGTCAATCCCACCCCTGGCCACAGGTACTCTCAGTCATATTTTCAGAACTACTGACCATCTCAGCAATACCGATGGTCCCAGCTCTGCCTCTTTCACCCCCCATTCCCATCCCTACCATTCTCTAATTCCATATTCCTGCTGACTCTGAAACTGAGGAGGCTGAAAAGACAACAAAAGCCTATGATGGGGCTTAGTACTGTCAGAATACAAAAGGGAGTGTGAATCACTAAACTCTGATATGTAGACCTCCTTGCCATGTTCTTTAATGCACTTTTAAAGTCACCTCTTGACTTAGGTTAGATTTAGCTGTGCCACTAGTGGGCTGCATGTAGTCACAAGTCTCTTCCTCTACAGGGGCCACAACTAAGAGTAGCTATGAAATACAAGCATGAGGAGAGAGGCCTGTACTAAATGTTTTTTTATGTCTTCTCCAGCACTGATTATTCTAGGACAGCCATCTGATAGTGCCAGCTGGCTTTACAGGTGGGCTGCAAGTTGGATGCACACTTAATGTTGGAACAGAAGAATAAGCTTCTGTAGGCCGAGCATGGTGGCTCACGCTTGTAATCCCTGCACTATGGGAGACCTAGCCAGGTAGATTGCTTGAGCTCAGGAGTTTGACATCAGCTGGAGCAAGAGCAAGACCCCCATCTCCAATAAAAACAGGAAAACTAGCCGGGCACAGTGGCACATACCTATAGTCTCAGCACTCTAGAGGTTAATGCAGGGGTTTGGATTGCTGTGAGCCATGATACCATGGCACTCTACCCAGAGCAAAAGACTAGCAACAGAGTGACACTCTGTCTCAAAAAATAAATAAATAAATAAATAAAATTGGCTCGGTGTCTATGGCTCAAATGGTTAAGGCGCCAGCCACATACACCTAGGGTGGTGGGTTCGAATCCAGCCAGGGCCTGCCAAAAACAACAATGACGGCTGCAACCAAAAAATAGTTGGGCATTGTGGTGGGCGCCTGTGGTCCCAGCTACTTGGGAGGCTGAGGCAGGAGATTCGCTTGAGCCCAGGAGTTGAAGGTTGCTGTGAGCTGTGATGCCAGAGCATTTTACCCAGGGGGACAGCTTGAGGCTCTGTCTAAAAAAAATAAAAAGTAAATAAATAAAATTAAAAAAAAAAAAGCTTCTGTATATAAATGTTCCCAGCAATGGTTTCTGAAGTAGTTGTCAGTGACTCAGAAGAAGGATCAACCATTCTCTCACAGACACTGTGGATGACATGTACAAAGCCAAACCACAGTCCCGTGCCTTTTCAGGTTAAGATATGAATTGTACAATCAATTCCTAAACAGGATTCTAGAAGAAAGTCAACAGACATCTTTAGCCTCATTCCTTTAAATTTCTTCCTCTTAAAACAATGAAAATTAACTTCCTACTGTAAAGAGATGGGTTAACTAAGTCCCCTGTCAGCAGAGCAAATATCTGTACAGTAAGACCACCAGAGGGACTATAGCTCAGCGCCCATAGCTCAGTGGTTAGAGTGCCAGCCACATATACCGAGGCTGGCGGGTTCAAACCTGGCCCAGGTCTGCTAAACAATGACAACTGCAATAAAAAAATAGCTGGGCATTGTGGCAGGCACCTGTATTCCCAGCTACTTGGGAGGCAGAGGCAAGAGAATCTCTTAAGCCCAAGAGTTTGACATTGCTGTGAAGTGTGATGCCATGGCACTCTACTGAGTGCAACGTAATGAGACTCTGTCTCAAAATAAAAACCAACAAAAAATCAAAGGAACTAGGCCTACTATACTGAAACACACATGTGATCTATGAAAATTAGGTCAACTTAAAACTATTTAAAATTGTCAGAAACTACAGATATAGTCATCCATATTAAATTTTCAAGAATATCCTACTGTATATTCACATCAAAGTGTTTTGCAGCATGAAGAATGTTGTTACAGTAAGATTTACGAATAAAAGATTTACTAGTAAAAGATAGAAAAAAAGAAAATTAGGTCAACTTAAGGAGGTGGTCAATGTAGGTGGTCACCTATGGAGGTTCTACTGTATAGAATGTGCATTCAACTACCAAGATTTCCCAGTCATCCTATGAAAGTCACCCTACAACTCAAAGAGAATAGGGTAAAGTAAAAATTCTTCCTGGCATCTAAACAAGCTCAGCCTGCTGCATGGTAGCAACCTAAAGCTGGTCCTTCTTAGGATACAAAAGATTTATAGTGCTGCTCAGCAAGAGAGAGTCAATGACATAGTTTTTGGCATCCTCCAGCTATGTGACTTCAGGGTTGTTCAAAGGTACCTTTTCCATCCCAGTTTTTCATAAGGGATGGTTGCTGAGGGAGAGAAGATGACAAAAATTAGATATCTGTGGATAAAGCAACCCTGACATTTTTGCTACCTTGTGAATAACAGTAACAAAGAAAATACCCTCCACAATTCTCAAATAAATATATTGCCCTCCCAAGTACACAGAGTCTGTACGGAACGAGGTGGTTAATGAGTCAGATGCTACATTTTTCAAGCAGACAGACACTATGAAGAATCTCAACCTGGAATCTCAGAGTGACTCAGCGGGATGTTTCTGAGATCCACAAGGACAATCTTCCTACTTTTAAACTGAGGAAGAAGCCCAGAGAACTTGTCACGGCCATAC